CCGCTGCCTGCCGGGGGAAGCCTGACCCGCGCGCGTGCCTTGGCGGTGATCATCTTGGCCACCACGTCCCGCGCGTGCACGTCGATGGTGCAGATGGTCATGATCTTCATCCTGTCGCTGGCGCTGAGGCTCCCGATGAGCAGCGTGATGAGCGCGTTCAGCTGGCTGATCTGGGAGGCGGCGGGTGCGCTTGGCTGAGATCCCGCGGTCGCGGTCCATCGCCAGCCCACAGCTCCTCGGGGAGGTCATGGCCGTGCAGGGAAGACCACCGGGCCCTTGCTCAGGACAATGAAAGAGGAACGAATCCCCCCACCCTACTGGGGGCGAAATACTACGGAGCCATGAAAAAGGATGATGAAAAACACCAGGGGAAGAGGGAGGATGTTAAAACAACTGATCTTAACGCTGCACAACAGTGTGTGTCTTTTCCCCATAAATGAAGTAAATGCACGCAAAGGACTAGAAGACTACATAAACATTGTAAAGAGTGATTACATTCGCGTAGTGGGATTACAGGCAGCTTTTCTTTTTATTCAAAAAATTATCATGGGTGCAGAGCATCGTGCTGCACACCTATAATCCCAGCCCTCAGGAAGCTGAGGCAGGAGGATCTCTGCAGGTTCGAGGCTAGCCTGAATCACAAAGAGAGACCCTGTCTCCAAAAAAATAAAAAAATAAAAAGTTTTTTTTAGCTTCTAAATATCTAACCTAGAATCTTAAAACAACAACAACAACAACAACAACAACAACAACAACAACAACAACAACAACAACAACAACAACAACAACAACAACAACAACAACAACAACAACAACAGACTCATGGCGGCGCCTGATGATTTCCAGATGAGAAACTGAAATTCTACACTCCTGAAGACGGGCCCAGCAGGTAGAACTGACCGGTTCTGATCTACAGAAACGGTGGCTTGGCAAAGTTCAGCCTTGGCGAGCCCTAGGAGCCCCCGGCCCCTGCTCGGCCGTCCTGGGGGACAGCGGGCCCAGTGTACCTGCTTTTTGTTGTAGTCTTTGATGGCGTTCTCGTAACCCTCCTCCAGCCTGGAGAAGGCCAGCCCCACCTCGGTGGTCCACCAGATCTGGGTGCAGGTCAGTGCAATCTGGAACACAGGACCGAGGGCTGCACGCTGAGCCGGGGCCACCGCTGCTCACAGAAGCGGGCTGGGGCTTCCGAGTGGCTGCAGGGAACCCAGGGCGCCCACCCCAAAGACAGCCGCGTGCCCTCGGACCTGGGCCGGGTAATCAAAGATCCACTGCTCCCTCGGCTTCTCCTCGTAGGTGACCACGGCCTCCGGGATCTCATGGCGCAGCGTGGCGCACATTCGGTCCAGCACGCGGTTCAGCCAGACCTCCACCTGCAGACGGGGCGTACGGGCCACACAGGGCCATGAGCCCGTCTGGTTCCCACCGATTCCTTTGTCATTGTCACTAACCCGGGGCAAGGAACGTCCGGGTTTTTGTAGAGCAGTAAAAATGAGCCATCTAAAAAAGGCCAGACAGTGCCTGCTGCGTCTGGCATCCAGGTGGCGCGACCATCTCTAAGCCAGAGTGGGGAGAGGGCGTGGGAGAGAACTCTGAACAAGCAGGGGGCCCAGTCCACCCTGGCCCTGACTCAGAGCTGCCACCTGGGATGGGGGGGTGGAGGTGACTGCGTGGTGCCACCTGCTGGTCACGATGCAGCAGGACAGTGAGGTTGGTCTTGCCAGCACCTCTCCCGTTTTGAAATGACACACCCTGGGGCAGGGCCTGGGGATCCCACGTGGGACCTGTGCTTTGCAGTGCCTGAGGCCCTGGATTGGACCCCCAGCCCCTCAGGCAAACCAAAGCCAAAACCAGAACTCCTTCTACTAACTGCATCTGGGTGGAGGAAGCCCTCCAAGGGCCTGCTTTTGTCCTCAGCTTGTCTGAAGATCCAGGGCAGGAAGGTCACCCAACAGACTCCCATGAGCAGGTCCCAGTGGAGCCCTACTGCAGACACATGCTGTCCAACTGTAGGGAGCACACTTTCCTCTCTTCTTTTGAGACAGGCTCTTACTAAATCGCTAAGTTGCCCAGGCTGAGCTTGAAGTCGCCACCCTCCTGCCTCAGCCTCCCAGAGTGTCATCCCAGAGGGCTGGAATCCCAGACATGCGCCTCCACACCAGGCCGAGTCTCAGCTTTTCTCGCATGAGCTATTCTCCCATTCTCCCTGCTGGTCTGACTTGCTCCTGCACTGCCTTTTCTTTAGGCTGATGTCAAAATCATTTCTGTGGCTTGACCAGTGAGAGAGGGAGTGGGGGCGTCAAGGAGATTGCGACACTGAGAGCAGCAGCCCGAGTGAGGGACACGGGCCCCGGGATCACCAGGGATCATTTGCAATGCAGCCAGGGGCGGTGGGCAGAGGTCCGGTTCAGCCAGAATCCCCTGGGAAGCCCCCCAAACTCAGTGGCATCAAGGAGCCTGTTTTCCCCTCCTCTCACTCCCTCTGCCCCATGAGATCCATGCCACGCACGCAACGTGGGGAAGGCAGAGTTGCAAGGTCTTTAAAGAAGACCCTGAGCATTTCCTATGGAGGCAGAGGGGAGCGACGGGCTCTGGCGGGCGCTGTGGGCACGTCTGGTCCCCGCCTTCTCACCTGTCCCGAGAGGTCACATTCTCGGTCAAACTCCACGTACTCGTCCTCCTTGCTGTACATCCCCAGTCCAAACTTGAGCGGCTTCCCGCTGGCGTCGAGCTGGAACTTTAGCTTGCACAGGCTGTCGAAGAGCTTGGACAGGTGGCGGCTCACCTGTGGGGGCGGGGGCGTTGTGCGGCTTTGGGGCATCGAGCTCCTCCCCTCCCACCTGCCCTCCTTCGTGTGGGGAGCAGGTGCCCCATCTCTGGTCAGTGCTACCCAGCCGTGGCTCAGCCACCTACAGGAACTGGTGGAGCCGCCCTCGGGCAGGATGAGGCCCGGGGTCCTCCATCCTGGGCCCTGCGCGCCCCTGTGCCTCGTGTGTCCCATGACTCAAGTTGGAAGCAAAGCGCGGTCAACCTCCCCTCCCCTAGTTCACCCTGCCCTCTTTCAGAAGAGCCTGGGGGCCCCTTCCTGGCTCCGGGTGACTGGAAGATGACCCGGAGGATGGGCCGGCAGGCAGGGTGTCCTTCCGAGACTGTCTCCCGACACCCCGGCGTCAGACCCACTTTCCAGATGAGGACACCAGGCACACAGCGCAGACTGTCCGGCCTGGAACACGCCAGGTGCCCCCCGGGGCACCCCACCTACCTCCACAGGGTCATTTCCGTTGGAGAGGATGTCCAGCAGGTCAGCCGAGGAGACGAAGTAGAACCTTGGGAAGGCCAGCCTCTTGGTCTCCAGGTACTCGGCCAAGGCCTTTTCACACATAGCCAAGCTGGGAGGAGCGGGGTGGAGGCGTCGGTTCGGCTCTGCAGGGGTCTCGGCCCATGCACCGACCGGACCTCAGGGCTGCTGTTCACAGACCCAGTGAACTCAGAACTTTCAACCAGGTGCTCTCATGCCTCTCAGCCCTGACCAAGAAGGGTTCTGAGGCGGGAGCCAGGGACAGGACGCAGACAGCCCCGGGATTATGGTCATGCACCATGCTGACCAGCAGGTGGCACACATTCCAGGCTCCTGCCGCCATCTGCGTCTCCCCGCCTGGGCAGGGACCCACCTTTTCTTCAGGGCCTCCAGTTTATGATAGAGACCCGGTTTGTTGGTGGCTTCCACCACATTGGGAGTTTTCACTGCGTCTTCCATCAAGGCCTGGGAAGAGGAAGGGATGGCCGAGGCGTCAGGAGCTCCCCTGTCCGGGATGGCCCTGCAGCGCGCCCAGGCGGCAGCTGGGCTCACCTTGAATTCCAGGTCGATGGCATCGAAGCGCTGGGAGTCTTTGGGCAGCTGGGCTCGGATGTCCTCGGAGCCGATGAAGATGCTCTCCAGGTGGCTCCAGGTTCTCTGGACCTCGAACCACATGGCGATGACCGAGTCTGCCGTGGACAGCTTCTGCTGCCAGCCGGTCACCTCCTTGAGGAAGTGGGACAGGTACTTGGACATCATCAGGTTCTGCAGCTGCACCTGGTTGTCCTCCAGGGTCTCCACCAGCACCTCGTCCGCCTTCAGCATCATAGTGCCAGTGCGCGGGTGGGGCTCGTGCTCGAACTCCATGGTGGTCCAGGTGCTGTCCAGGGCTTTCAGGACCTGTCCAGGGAGGGCAGCCCCGAGGACAGCGGGTGTCAGGCATGGGTGGCAGAGAGACTCAAAGCTCCCGGGACTCGAGATGAGCAGAGCGTCCACTGCAGGGACGCTCATGCTATCTCGGGGCCCTGTGGGATGGACAGGCAGTCGCCATGTGATCCATCGCACAACAGAAGCTACTCGGCCTTAGGAAGGTGGGAGGCGCGGATGGACACAAGGCTGTGACAGGCACCAGACACGGACATGGACACGGAAGGCCACGTATCTGGACGCTGCTCTGGCACACTGGCTATTTGCAGTTAGAAACAACTGAACAATAGCAGGGCCACGGTCATGCTGACCTTCACTCTGCCTCTTTTTTTTTTTTTTTCCCCCGTACCAGGGATCAAACGTGCCTTTGCACTTGCGAGGCAGGCGGCAGCACTATGGAGCCAGATTCCCCGGCCTTCACGCCGTGCCTTTAAAGCAGCAGATGAACTCCCAGGGGCCAGTGCGTCCCTGTGCCAGATAAAGCTTCTCATCATATGCTTCTGGTCACAGGGAGACAGCACTGGGGACCGGACCCGGGGTCTGTGCACTGAGGTACATTCTTAGCCCTTTTTAAAATTTTTGAGACAAGGCCTTGCTTGGTCAATAAGTCACCCAGGCTGGGTTTGAACCTGGAAGCTTCCTGCCTCAGCCTCCCAGAGTGCTGGGATTATACGTGCGCAATCCATCATGCCCCGCTAGTTGAGCTCTTTACATAATAGATTCTTGAGGTGTTTTACATGATTTCTGCCCCAGGCTGGGTAGAAGGAGCTGCTGGACTTTGCTCCAAGGTGGGAGGCTGCAGGGCCCAGTGTGAGAAGCCAGGGGATCGGTCCGAGGGCCGCCTGGGCAGGTGGCTACGGGAGCCAGGGCTCACCTTCTCCATCCCGGACTCCTTCACAGCCTTGTCTACAATGTTGCGGACCTCGTCTTCATACTTGTGGAGATTCAGCTGCAGCAGATCCGCCAGGGTGGTCTCTTCGGACATTCTGAACTTCACCTGGGGGACAGCGGCCGCCCCAGGTGAGGTGGCGTCGTGGGGAGCAGGCTCCCCGCTTAGTGTGTCCTTCCCCGGACCCTGCTCCCCCTTCCCTGTGGAACCCAGCGGGAGTGGGGTGAAGAGCGCCCCCTAGGGCCGCAGGGCATGACCTTGTTTGGAAACAGGACTTTGATCGTGAGCGGGGATCGCCCAGACTCTCCTACACCCAGAGATGAGCGCTCTTGGGGCACAAGGAGAAGGTGGAGGAGGCAGAGGTTAGACTGTGCCCAGGACCAGGAGGGGCGGGAGGAAGTGGCCTCCCCTCCAGCCTCCCGCCGGAGCAAGGCCTGCCCACACCCGGCCTCAGCCTTCAGCCCGGGGGCTTGGACAGAATGTTGTAAGCGCCGCCCAGGAAACCAAGGCCTGTGCAACATGGACCGAAACCTTGGAAAAGGGGAGAGAAAACAACTCCCCTCCTCTCGAGCTGACGATACCCAGGAACGGACCTCGCCCCTCAGCTCGGGCTCTCCGCGTCACACACAGATGTTTCCGAGCACCGGCTCCAAGCCCGGCCTGGCCACCTGGCCTTGCCACAGCTGGACTCTGGGGCAAGCAGGGGAGCACCTGCTGGGTCTGGCCCAGCCCACCCCTCTCCGGGGAGGTTTTAGTTGTTCACGGATGACACCGGCATCTTCCAGGGCGCCCGGGGGTGCTCTGGAATCTGGGAACCTGCTTGTCTCTGTGGTTCTCTCTGCCAAGGCCCAGGCCAGGCCAGAGTCTACCGAGCCTTCCTGCTTTTCCCACCCCTTGGCCTTCCAGTGCCTCCCTCCTCCAACGTCCCAGGGCCAGCAGAACACAGCACCCCGGACTGCCACAAGGGCCGGGTGGCATCAGGGTGACTGAGCAGCAGCCATTGAGAGCAAAGCTCTGTGCTCCACTGTTTGCCTGACGCTCGTGAACGTGGCCCTGCTCCCCGCTTCACGGGAAGACAGAAATGAGTCATCAGAGACTCCCCGAGACCCTGGCAGCCCAGCAAAGGCACTGGGGGGCGTCTGCCCCACGCACCTGCCTCATTGCCCACCGTGCACCACCCTGAGCTCCGGGCTCTGCCTCTGCCTCTGCCTCCTCCTCACAGGCAGCTCCCGGAGCCCAGGCGCCACGGCCTCAGTGCTTCCTGTCCGGTGTGGAGGGCGCACGCCTGTGGTTCCCTCACTCTCTGGGGGCTGAGAGTCTAACTTACGGGGGTGCCAGGCAGAGAACCCAAGGCGGGCATGGGGAAAATAATTTGTTCTGCCCTAAAAGAGCACAGCCGTTGTCCTCTGTGCCGCCCACGTTCCGTCTCTGTGGCCCTGGGGAGAGCGGCTGTTCAGCCCTTGTGACTCGGACAGCGCCCCCGGGCAGGGCTGGCCCCGCGCACCTGGGTGGCCTGCATGAGCTGCTGCCAGTGGCGCTCGCGGATGGCAGGGTTCTGCAGCTCGCTCACGGCACGCAGGGAGGTGATCATGTTCTTCCCCGTGTTGTCCAGCCCCACGAAGGCGTCCCAGGCCTTCATCTCCTTGTCCAGGGACCTCACGTCCTTGGCGAACTTCTTACAGTTGATGTCCATCTGCTCCACGTTGATGTCCCTCCACTTGGTGGTCTTCCAGTCGTCGATGCTGCTGTTCACCTGCGGCGGGAAGGTCCCCGTCGCCTGCGCTCTTGCTGGAGCAGGCGGGAGGACACTGCCACCTTACTCGGTGTCACTAGATAACACAGAAAGGGTCCCCTCCTAGGAAAGCACGACAGTGAGCGCTCACAGCCACCGGCGGCGAAGGCGGATAGAACTGAAAGCAGAAACAAGTTCACCCCGGCAGGTGGAGACATGCACAACCCACAGATGTGCTTGGCGTTTTATGGAGCTGCAAAGCTGAAAATTAAAGTTGAATCAATAATTAAAATTGTGGTGCCCGGCATAGGGGCACACGCCTGTAATCCCAGCACTCGGGAGGCTGAGGCAGGAAAATCGCTGTGAGTTTGAGACCAGCCTGGGATACATGGTGAGTTCCAGGTGCGTCTCAACTACATAGTGAGACCCTGTCTCAAACAAACAAAAAAAATTGGAACGCAGAAGAGCTGGGCAGGTGCTCTTGGAGCCATCACCGAAAGAGACCACATCCTGATCCATTAAATAAACCTCTCTCTATGAATTTCAAACAGTAGATGCCACAGTACAATGGACTTCACAAAAACAGAAGAGCACTTTTTTCTTTTTGTTTAGATTTTTGAGCCCAGGGCTGAGCCACAGTTGTGATCTTTTGAGACAAGCTCTTGCTAAGTCACACTAAGTTGCTCAGGCTAGGCCTGAACTTGGCAATCCTCCTGCCTCAGCCTCCCAGAGTGTTGGGATTACAGGTGTGCACCATCACACCCAGCAAGGAGGGCTCTGATCCCCAATCCAAAAACATCACTTGAAAGTAAGACAACAGATCAGTATCTCTCATGAACCTACAAAGATTCTCAACAAAATGTTAGCAAACGGACCCCCCCCACATGTGCACACATGTGCAAACACGCATGATCAAGTGGGGTTTATTCCAATATTTAAAAATCAATGAAATTTAGTATATAATAGTCATATTAACTGACAAGAGAAGATATTCAACAGCATCCAAGTACATATTGTACAAAAATGGCAAGAGAGTCAATTTCTTCAATGTAAAAATTTATGGTAAGTATCATGTATAATAATAGCGGTTGCTTTCCCTCTGAGATTGGAACGGTACAGTGAGGGTCGAGCCCTCCAGTCTTAACAGCACTGGAAGTTCTAGCCCCTCTAGCCCCTGCAAAAGGCACGCAATAAAAGACAAAGATTGGAAAGGAAAAAAATCAAACTGTCCTTATTTACAGATGGCATTACTTCCGATGCCGAAAACTCCTAAGGAGTTTATTCAAAAGCAAAAAACACTAGAACTAATAGGCGAGTTTTAGCAAAGTCACACGATAAAACTATACAGAAAAACTGATCACATTGTATGTACCAAAGCAATATGAAAACCAAAATTTAAGATGTACTACCACTCAGTCACTTCAAAGAAGCAAGGAAAATCTTAGGTATAAATCCAATAAAACATGCGTAGGATCTTCATGCTAAGATAATAGAATGCCAACCAAAGAAATTAAAACAAAGACAATGTTCACGGCCCGAATACCCAACGCAACAGAGACATCCGTTCTCTCTAAATCGAAGTACAGGTTTGTTGCAGTGTTTATTTAAAACACACACACAAAAAAAATCCCCAGTGAGGGTTCTTTCTTTGGGGTAGGCAGAACAAGATTATTCTTAAATGCGTATCAGAGGGTAAAAATCCTAGACTCTTAATCGTAACAAAGAAAAGTAGGAGGGCTGGGATTTAGCTCAGTGGTGCCGCCGCCTGCCTCTCAAGCACAAGGTCCTGAGTTCGATCCCTGGTACCAAAAATAAAATAAAAGAAGAGTAAAAGTAAGTGGGAGCCATCACTCTAGTGGACGTGAAGACTCCCTGCATAGCTACAGTGATCAAGCCCGACTGATACCGTGGAGGAATAGACTCGAAACAGACTTCCACGGAACAGCGTAGAGGCCCCACACGCGTGTGCCTGACTGACTTTGGGCAGAGGTGCGAATGTAATTCAGAGGAAGCACAGCTTTTTCAGCCAGTGGTGCTCAAGAAAATCAGACATTGCAAACTGCAAAACGAAGCTCGGCCCAAACCTCAATCCTTACATAAAATTAACTGGAAATAGGTCACAGATGGACACGAACACGGACCACCGTGAAACGTAAGAGTAAAGGCCTAGGAGAAAACCTCCAGCACTGAAGCCAAGAGTTCTTGGATTTAACACCAAATGCATGATGCACGAGAGGAAGAGATGATAAAATGGACTTCGTTGAGATCAAACACTTTTGCCCTGCAAAACAAACTCGGTAAGACAATGCAAAGGCAGGCAGAGTGCGGGGATATTCCCGGGCCGTGCACCTGGTACAGGGCTCGTTTTGAGTGTGTAGAAAGAACTCTCCAAACTCAGCAGTGTAAATACACAAAGTCCAACGAGAAAGTGGGCAAAGGACAGGAACCCACGTGCGGCGGCAATCCCAGGTCGCACTGGGACCCGCACCCCGCGGTGACGGAGAGGGGGTGGCCCTTGGTAGGCGACTGGGTCAGCAGCGGGCAGAGCCCACCAAGAGGGGAGAGAGCAGGAGAGGGGAGTGGAACGGGAAGGAGGACACAGCACCCGCGCAGGCGCGCCCGCCTCACCATGACGATCATGTCCCAGAGCTCTTTGAGCAGGCAGACCTCCCTGCGGCAGGCCTTGAGCTGCTTGTAGTCGGGCACCGTGACCTCAAACAGGCTGCCGGACTTGCACAAGGCCTCCATGGCCGTCTCCATGGCTTTGATGCTTCTCTGTTGCTGGGGACGGAGGCGCAGTCAGCCGGTGCCCAGCCCGGGCCTGCACCCCTCTGGCCCTCCTCTGCCGCGTCCGGTAGGCAGGCGTCTCCCTCCAGCCCTCCCGGCGCACAGGGGCTGGCTGCCCCTCCACCTGGTCCCTGCAGGCTCTGGCTGCAGCTGGCTTGAGTGAACAGCCCAGCCGCCTCCCTTCCCGCTGGGATTCATCTCCCACTTCCATGCTATATTTTTATCTTACTAAAAAATGACGTAAGTAATGCTGGCTTGCTCTGAAAATTAGAAAATCTAGATGGGCCAAAAGGGGGTCACACTGAACCCCGGCAGTAAGTGTGGGTGGCCGGGAACGCTTGGGTTAAGTAGGTGCACCATTAGCCCCGCCGCAGGTTCTACTACTCCCTTGAATTCAACCAAACGTGGAAGTCTGTGTCCGGCCCCACACAGGTCAGTGTGACGATATTCACACAGCCTGGACATCACACGAGGGCTCACGAGTCATCGGGGTGATACATAGGGCACAGGAGGCCGTGCCCAGGTTCTGGGCCACTGTGCCGTTCTACACAGGGGACCTGAGCCCCCAGGCACCTGGCGACCACAGGGCCCTGGAGCCCATCCCCTGAGCGTGCCACGTGAACGCCTATCGCACATTTGTGTGGGTGCACAGCTACACGAGGCAGCTGGCACCCGGGCGGCCTGTGCCCGCCCAGCCAGGCTGTGTTCTCGCTCGTAGGTGCACAGGCCTGGCCGTGGCCACCGGAAGTCACAGACTCCGTCAGAAGGCCGTGGGGGCTCCTCTTCCCAGGTGTGTCCAGAGAGCCCAGCCGGGGCTCCAGGGACTGATGCCCGGGACTTGGAAGGAGAGTGCCCGAGTGTGCATCGCGGTCGGGGTGGCACAGGGAGGAAGGGGAGGACTGGGAAGGTGGAGCAGTGGGCTTCGCAGCTGAGCCGGCGGCAGAGCAGGGGAGAGGGAGGTGGCTCTGGGGCTCTCGGCCGCTGGAGGAGGCACTGTGCCCCGAGCAGGGGGTTGGCGGGGCCCTGTTCTGCCCGTGGGAGCCTGCGGCACCCCGGCCTCAGAGGTGGCGGGAGGG